TGAAGGAGGCTTCTCAGGGTGGCCCAGTGACCACTAGCCCATTAGGGGCATCTCCAGCCCTGCAGCCCGGCCGAGACTGGCCCGTTGAGGAGGCGGTGCCCAGGAGGGCTGAGGGCTGCCTGCTCCACCTCCCAACCGGCCGGGCTCCAGCCTGGCCCCTCCTGTCAGAAGGGAAACCTGTGGGCCCAGTCACACCCTCACCTGCTAAGCCCCTGGCAGCTCGAAGGTGGTGCTGGGGCCTCGAATGGATTAACTCACTAAATCCTCACAACCCTGGAGCTAGGGATGGCTGTCATTCCAGGTTAAAGAGAGGGAAGTTGAGGGGCTAAGGTGGGGGTAAGCAGCCAATGGATCTCCATCCTGACCCCCACGCTGTTCTGCCCTCTAATGGCTGGGAGAAGGCAGGCCAATGAATTAATGAGTCCTGGGACAAAGTGGCCAAAATGGGGCTGTCTGGCCATCCCCTGAGGCAGAGGTGCTGGCCTGTCCCTCCCCAAGTGTTGACCAAGGGGCCTGCAGCAGAAGGTCTGGGGGTGGGAGACAGAGCACAGATTCTCTGTTCTTCACTAGCTTACTGTCGTTTGGTCAACTAGAGCATATGCCCCAATACAGAGGAGACTGTCCCCTCCGAGAAATCAGTCCTCAGGAAATAGGAGTCACCGCCCTGGACAGGAGTCCTTCTTGGGTCTTTCATATGATGAGATGCTCTGTTAGTTACCTTGCTGGATACGAATCCTAGCTCTGCCACTTTTGGCTGTGGACCTGGCTATGTACTTCTAACTGTGCCTCAGTTTCCTCATCTGGAAATGGGGGTAAGAACAGGATCCCTCTAGTGGGGTTGCTGGAGGATCACTGGGGCCAGGTCTGTATAGCCCCAGCCAAGCAGTCTGGCGGAAAGGGAGCACCCCTGTGCTGGATGAGGCCATTAGCATTTCTCCGTGGGATGTGTTAGACGTCCCTGACTGGTATCAATGACAAGGGAAGCAAAGAAAGTAGACAGATTTGGGAATTACTTCTGGTAGGGGTGGGGAATAAGGTCATAATATGTGGTGACCCTGGGGGACAAATCACAAAACCAACAAGCGCAATATTTGCAGTGATTAACCTTAACTAACCAAGTGAATCTGGGTAAGTGACATAACCATTCTGTACCTCAATTTTTCTTTTCTTTTTTTTTTTTTTAAAGATTTTATTTATTTATTTGAGACAGAATGAGAGAGAGAGAGAGAGCACGTGAGAGGGGGGAGGGTCAGAGGGAGAAGCAGGCTCCCTGCCGAGCAGGAAGCCCGATGCGGGACTCGATCCCAGGGACTCCAGGATCATGACCTGAGCCGAAGGCAGTCGCTTAACCAACTGAGCCACCCAGGCGCCCCTCTTTTTTTTTTTTTAAGATTTTATTTATTTATTTATTTGACAGAGACACAGCGAGAGAGGGAACACAAGCAGGGGGAGCGGGAGAGGGAGAAGCAGGCTTCCCGCTGAGCAGGGAGCACGATGTGGGGCTTGATCCCAGGACCCTGAGATCATGACCTGAGCCGAAGGCAGACACTTAACCGACTGAGCCACTCAGGCGCCCCTGTACCTCAATTTTTCTTATCTGGAAAATGGGAGGCAAAGTACTTGCATCTCCTTGTTCTATAGCGAGGATTAAATGAGTCAATGTAGGTGAAGGGCTTATAAAAGGACTTCGTAAAGTAGGGATTAATATACGTAGGTAAATAAGTTATGCAAATGAGCTCCTGTGCCTTGGGATAAAATTTCAGTGACAGCTTCATATACGGAAAAAAAAAAAGTATGTTTAACCTCAAATAATTTAGCTTGAAGATGATGTTTTTGGAAAACTAGGTTAGGTGACTCAGAAGGATCTTTTAACAATGAAAAAGACACTATCTCCAAAATGCTCATAGAGAGTCTGAATAAAACAGCTTTATGAAATGGGAGTATGTGGACAAAAGCAATTCTAAATTAACATATTATCTTCCACATGTGCTTTAAAAAATGTATCTATATGGGGCGCCTGGCTGACTCAGTGATTCTTGATCTTGGGGCTGTGAGTTCGAGCCCCATGTCGGGAGCAGATATTACTTAAAAATACAATCTTTAAAAAAACGTATCTATAACTAAATTATTGAATATTATAAGCAGCCATGAAACTATTTTATGTGTGGTCCTAAATATTTTATTATATTTATATATTGATATATTTTATATATTTAGTTTACATGTTTATACAAACATACACATCCAGGAGTGCCTTGATGGCTCAGGCAGTTAAGCGGCTGCCTTTGGCTGAGGTCATGTTCCTGGGGTCCTGGGATTGAGCCCTGTGTGTATGTGTGTTGGGGGGGTGTCCCTGCTCAGCGGAGAGTCTGCTTCTCCCCCTGCCCCTCGCCCTGCTCATGCTCCTCTCTCAAATAAATAAAATCTTTAAAACAAACATACATACACACCTATAAAAAGTCTTGTTTGAATTCTTATCATGGGGAAAAGGGGTTTTTTGTTTGTTTAGGGTTATTATATGTCCAGGCATATTTTCTGAGCACGTACTATGTACTGGGCCCTGGGTGGGGCTCACAGTATCTCTGCTCCCCCAGAATTCTCAGTTCACTGTGGGGGACAGAGGAGGCAAGCCGCTAGGAAAAGGGTCTGACGTGCCCTGGGACAGGTGCTGGGGCAGGGAAGAAGCATGCAGTCAGTGGAAGGTGAGCCCAGTGTGGGCTTGAATGAGCTTCCCCAAGGACGATGGCATGTCTGTGTTAAGACCTGAGAGGTGGTGTTATGGGTCCCTTCCAAAAACATGTTGAAGTACGAACCCCAAGTATCTGAGTGTGACCTTATTTGGAAATAGGGTCTTTACAGAGGTAACCAAAGCAAACTGAGGCCATTAGGATGGACCCGAATCCACTGACTGGTGTCCTTATAAAAAGTGGAGATGTCAACACAGAGACACACATGTAGGGAGGATGCCGTGTGAAGATGAAGGCAGAGAATGGGCAGATGCATCTACAGGCCAAGGAATCACCCGCCGCTGGGAGAGTGGCCAGAACAGATCCCCCTTCACAGCCCTCAAAAGGAACCAACCCCACCAACACCATGATCTCAGAAGTCTGACCTCCAGAACTGTGACACACTGGGTCTAGCGCGCACCCGGGGGAAGGACGGCCAGGTCAGCTGCCACGTGGAAGAGCCTAACGGGGCCTGCAGGGCTTGCCCCTCTGGCCACCCTAAAAAGTGGGGGCCTTGCAGATCTCACGGGGTTGTATGGCAGCGAGATCAAAACGAGATGCATGACTCATGCGTTCACCGAAGGAGCACCCAGAATGCCAGGCAGCTTGCAGGTGTCTTGTCACTAAGACAGCGGTGCCTGCTTTCAGGGGAACAGAGAAAGTGACAGGGTGACGGCGGGGGTACATACAGCTGGGAAGGCCCATCTGAGGAGGTGGCATCGGACCAAGCCCCTGCCCCGAGATGGCTGCAAGATCTGGGAGAACACTCAGGCCATTAGAGAACCCCTACATTGGCCCCGAGCTTGGCCTGGCCTTGGCAAGCAGGAGGAACAGCGGAGGCTGGTGTAGTAGAGAGAGCGAGGGGCAACGCGGGAGGAGGGGAGGGCAGGGGGAGAGGAGGCCGATTGTGCAGGGTCTGGGCAGGAGTGTGGGCATAGCACACGCCACACAAACACCTGGTACCATCGGTGTGCTTGGATCATCCATCCCCGGAGTGGGGGAAGCCGCTGGAGGTTCCGATCAGGAGAGCAGAGGCTCAGAGCCTGGGGCTGCCAGTGATGTTTGTGAACTGGATTCTTGGTGTGAGCTCCCCAGGCTCACCTGCCGACATCTGCAGGGACCAGTTTCTCTCTCCTGACACCTTTCTCCTTCTGAGCTCTGTCACCCCTACATCTGAAGGGCCCATTCAGGTCATGAAAGACGTTACAGAGAACCGGATGGAGGAGGGCAGAATCCCCCTCCCCCGGAACCAGCTCTATCCCTTACCGGCTGCTGTGCCTTATCTGTAAAATGGGGTGAGTAACAGGTCCACCTCACGGACCTGTTGTGAGGATTCAGGGAATTAATTCACATCTACAGGAGCTAAGAACCGAGACTGGTATACAGTGAGTACTCAGTAAATACAAGATACCATATTCTCCTAACGTGAAACAGAAATCCTTCCCTAATGCATATTCCTCTCCTCTCTTTTGCCTCTCCGCACTCAAACGAGCGGAGCACACAGTTTCCCTCCAATTCTGCCCTCCCCTTCTCTCCTGCACCCTTGAGGGACCTCCATGAGGCTCACAGCCCGTCAAGCTTGGGCTCCCGGGACACACGCTCGCCTGGGCCCCTCCTTATACTCTCTGGACACTGAGGGCTCTCTGGTCCCGTCCTGCAACTCCCCCTCCTCTCTACCCACACTCCTGGCCTTGGGTGTGCCTCCAGCCTCGTGCCTCTGTGCTGACAACACCCCAACTGCCCTCTCTAGCCTGACCCTCTCCCCTCAGCTCCAGACTCCGGACCCAGCCGCCTCCTTCATGGCTTCTGTGCCTCGTGAACGCAACTCACCCGGGACTGAGCTCGGGGGCTCTTCCCCAACCAAGCCTGCTCCTCGCTCAGTCCCCATCTCAGCTCAAGGCCAGTCTGCCCTTCCGGTTATGGGACCTGGGGTGTTCTTCAATCTCACCCTTCCCCGCAGCCCACATTCGGTCTGCCAGCCAACCCCGGCTGCTCCCGTTTAAGCATATCCATCCTGAAGCCAGCCCCCCTCCTCCTTGGCCTCCATCCTGCTCCGCCTCCCCCAGACCCCATCTCTGCCACGGCAGCTCCTTGGAAGCCGTGCCCCTCAGGCCGCCAAGGGACGCTCTGACCTCCCAACTAAGGGTGTTCTGTCCACAGCTGTACCCATGGCACCCTGCCGAATGAGCCAGTGAGGGGTCACCAACCCCGCCCCGTGCCCAGAGACGCCTGGCTCGGTTCCTGCAGCACCTCGCTGGGGGTCTGAGCACTTACTTCTTTGGGTCGGTGAAGGGGAGCGGCCGTGGCGGGGGCTCATCTGTCCTCTTCCATCCCGCCGGGTGCTTACTGTGTACGGGCTGCTTGGAGAAGAAGGACTTGGGGACAGAGGCGGAGAGCTGGAAGGGGCTGGACTGCGCCAGCTGTGAGGGTCGAGGAGTCTCTGTGCTGGCAGTTTTGTAAACCTGAGCGGGGTAACCAGCCCGCGAGCTCACGTCACTGCAGAGTAAAAACAAGAGAAACAGTTGAATCCATTCCCCGTTTCCCCAAAGCGATCTGTTTAAATTTACTCTTGGGAAACAACAAAGTTCCTTCACACAACAGAGATACAAATACACGGCCCCCAGTCCCACCCCAGGAATGCCCTCTATGCCTCTGTGCGAATCTACAAAAGTCACCATCTGTGGGTGGACACACCCCGAGATTCCCTATCTCCTGGGCACAGCCTACGTAGCTGAAGGTGGGGGTCCTACCTGCTCGTCTCTAGAGAGATCCATGGTTTACAGTTTGCTCGCTCTCTCGCTCGCTTACACTTTCTTCCTCTCCCTCTCTCTCTCTCCCTTTTCCTATGCATTACAAATATACACCTGAATACGATCAGGGAGGCAGGAACTTTTTTGGTGGGGGGAGGAGGAAAATTTTATGTTGTTATGGGATCGCATTAATATATTGTTCTGTAAGTTTTTTTTTTTTTCCTTAAAATAGAGCTTGCCAAGGAGCCCTTTCATTCAAATACTTTGGAGTACCTGCTATACATCAGACAACGTTCCTGCTGATCTAATCTAAAACCACAGCTCATTATCCCAAATGCTTGATTCCCATGGAATTCGTGCTACAATGAACCTCATGCTGCTAACCAGAACCCAACAGTTGGGGACCCAGCTGTTTACTCCCCTAGACAAAGTGACTTTTTGAAACTTTTAAATAAAATTCCAATTCCACTTCAAGTGAGAGGCATTTAATGAGAAAATTGATGCCTTTGGGGTTTAAGTCAATAAATGCTTTTTGATGGTCAATTTAACAATAGGAAGGGGTGGGACTTTTGACTATGATCAAATGAGGAGACCGGCAGATCCTCTCCCCCAAAGCACAAGATTGACAAAACAACCATTTCGGCACTCTGGCCATTGACCAAGGGCACACGACAATCTGAGAGTCATCGATGCTTGAAAAGCCGCTGCACATCAGATGAGAAAAGAGGGAATCTGTGGCATTTTGGCTGGGGCTCCTGCCATCCTCCTGCCCAGCTCAATGCCTAAGGACCTTCCTGCCAAACCAAAATCTTTGGGACAGCGTCAAGCATACGGACATGTGTGCACCGAGAGTTCTGGAAGGAGAGGAGAGAAAAGGGCAGAAGAACAATTTAAAGAAACAATGGCTGAACACTCCCCACATTTGATGAAAAAAATTCACCTACACAGCTAAGAAGCTCCCCAAGCCCTAAGTATGGTAACTACAAAGACATTCATATCCAGAAAAACAGCTCAAAGTCAAACAGTGAGATAAAAACCTTGAAAACCTCAAGAGAAAAAGGATTCATCACATACAGAGAAGCATCAATATAATTAACTGCTGACTTCGTATCTGAAACAATGGTATGGAATATTTTCAAAGTGCAGAAAGAAACAAACCACCAGCCAAGAATTCTGTATCGAGCAAAACTATATCCTTCACATATGAAGGTAAAATAAAAATATTCCCTGATAAACAGACGGAGAAATTGATTGCCTGCTCATCTGCCTGGTAAATTAATAAAAGAAGTCCTCAGGCTGAAAGACAGTGACTCCAGGGGCACCGGGCTGGCTCAGTCCACGGAGAGAGCGACTCTTGATCTCAGGTTGCAGGTTCAAGCCCCACATTGGGTGTAGAGATTACTTAAAAATAAAATCTTTTTTATTTTTTTTAAATTTTATTTTATTATTTTTTAAGGATTTTGTTTATTTATTTGACAGAGAGAGACACAGCAAGAGAAGGAACACAAGCAGGGGGCAGAGGGAGGGGGAGAAGCGGGCCTCCCGCCGAGCAGGGAGCCCAACACGGGGCTCGATCCCAGGACCCTGGGATCATGACCTGAGCCGAGGGCAGATGCTTAACGACTGAGCCACCCAGGCGCCACCAAAATAAAATCTTTTTAAAGAAAGATTTTAAATATTTACTTGAGAGACAGAGCAAGCTAAAGGGAGGGGGAGGAGAGGCAGTGGGAGAGGGAGAAGCAGACTCCCCGATGAGCAGGGAGCCAGGACCCTGGGATCATGACCTGAGCTGAAGGCAGCCGCTTAACCAACTGAGACACCCAGGCGCCCCTAAAAATAAAATCTTAAAAAAAGAAGAAGAAAGAAGAAAATGACTCCGGATGGTGACCTGAATCTATACGGAGAAATGAAAGGTCCAAGACGGTAAATTTGTGGGTTAGAATAAGACTATAGATTTATGTTTCCTTATTTCTTCTCTAATTTCCTTAAAGACATAAGATTGTAAAAGGCAGTAAGAACAGCACTATATTGTTCGGCTTGTAACATATTCGAATGTAATAAAATGACAAAAAATAGCACAAAGGATGGGGAAGGGAATGTGGCTATACTGAGACAAGTTTCTTTCTTTAAAATTAAAAAAAAAAAAAATTCTTTTTGAGAGGTAGGGGAGGGGGCAGAGGGAGAGAGAGAAACCCAAGCAGGCTCCATGCTCAGCAGGGAGCCCAAAGTGGGGGCCTGATCTCATGATCCTGAGCTGGAATCAAGAGTTGGATGCTTAACCAACTGAGCCCCCCCAGGCGCCTCTGGAGAAAAGTTTCTATATTTTACTGGAATTAGGTTACTAGATCTAAATTACACTGTTAAGATGCATATTGTAACTAAAAAAATATGGTCAAAAAATCAAGAGGAATCCAAACAGTACACTAAATTTATTTAATACAAAAGGTGGCAGTAAAGGAAGAACAGAGCAGAGCCCTGGGTGGCTCAGTTGGTTAAGCGTCTGATTCTTGATTTTGGCTCAGGTCATGATCTCAGGGTCATGAGATTGAGCCCTGTGTCATGCTCAGCGTGGAATCAGCTTGAGATTCTCTCTCTCCCTTTGCCCCTCCCCCTGCTCTCACTTTCTCTCTCAAATAAATAAAATCTTAAAAAAAAAAAAAAGGAAGAACAGAGCAAGAAGAGAGTAACCATATGGAAAATAGCAAAATGGGGAATGTAAATTCAATTGTTATCAACGATTTCTCTAAATGTGAATGTTTCAACACCCAAAGACAGAAGATTGTCAGACTGGATTAAAAGAAGCAAGCTCTGACTAGATATGCTTTCTAAGATTTAGCAACATCTATTAATGGGGCCACGGTTACAACCTGGCGGGGGGGATGCCCAGGGAGCCAGGGAGCGTATAACACGAGGAACGGACCTCAGGGTGATCAGGAGGCCTCCCCAGGGAGGCAATGGCAGCTGAGCCAAGAACTGAAGGATGAGTAGCATTGGTCTAACATCTGACCTCCCAGAAATCTGTGCCACAGAAAAGCCTGCACAAGTACTTGTGGGCACATACAAGGATGGTCACCGTAGTGCTGTGTGTAATCAGGTAAGTTAGGGGCGCCTGGCTGGTTTGGTAGGAGGAGTATGTGACTCTTGATCTCAGGGCAGTGGGTTTGAGTCCCATGTTGGCTGTAGAGATTATTTAAGACAATAAATAAAAACTTAAAAGAAAAGAAAGAAAGAAAGGAAGTTAGACCTGGCCTGGGTGTCTTTTAACAGGGGATTAATAGATGTTCCAAGCACACCCTGATGATCAAAAATGATGCAGCCAGTTCGGGGCGCCTGGGTGGCTAGTTGGTTAAGCGACTACCCTCAGCTCAGGTCATGATCCCAGGATGCTGGGATGGAGCCCCGCACCTCTCTGGCAGGCTCTGTGCAGTGTTCAGCAGGGAGTCTGCTTCTCCCTCTCCCTCTGCCCCTCCCCTGGTTCGTGCACTCTCTCAATTAAATAAAATCTTTAAAAAAAACTGAAACAAAATGATGCAGCCAGTTCAAAGAATAAGGTAGGTTTCTTATAAACAAGGACAGATGTTTGAGTGGAAACAGGCAGGGAAAAAGGCATGACTCTGCTCTTTCTTTTTATATATGCACATAGAGTGTAGGATTATTGGTTTTTTTTTGTTTTGTCTTTCTTACAACCGTAGTTTTTTTTTTCTTCCCCAACTGTGGGTCATTAAACCATTTTACTGGCTCTTGACCATTATTAAGGGGAGAAAAAACACCCAAGCCTGACAGATAGGAATAAAAAACATCGGTGTACAGGATGTGAGGTAAGTTAAGGATAATCAGCGTTTTGTGAAACTTCATTCTGGATGTCTGTGCGGGATTGTAACGTAAAGTGCTTCCCCCGTTTTGGGTAACGGTCAAAAATGCTTGAAAGAACTGGGCTGGTGCAGGTCTGGAGGAAAATCTCTGGGGAAGTGTGCACAGACTGGTGATCTCTGGAGGGAGTAATGAGGGGAACATGGGCAGAATACAAGTCCAATGAAACCATACCGGTGGTACAGGGGAAAAAGGCAGTGTACCTGACACCTTAGTCTCCCTGCTTGAGGCAACTGAGACCCATCCTTTCTTCAGCAGACAGCCTGGGCACACACAGCACACGGGTGTGAGAGGGAGTGTGTATGGTTCCCACTTTTTTTTTTTTTTAAGATTTTATTTATCTATTTGAGAGAGAGGGAGAGCGCTTGCACAAGCAGGGGGAGCAGCAGGGGGAGGGAGAGGGAGAAGCAGAGCAGGGAGCGGGATGCAGGTGGGGCTCAATCCTGGACCCCCAGGATCATGACCTGAGCCACCCAGGCGCCCCTCCCGCTTTTCTTTGTAAAATAAATGGCCGCGTATGGTAAGCTTGCTGCGCACCCTGCTCTCCCCGTAACAATATATTCTGTAGATCTGTCCGTGTCAGTCCACACAAGCCCCCTCTCTTTAATGGCCACAGGGGGTCCACTCTATGAATCTATCGCTAGTGATTTTAACCTTTTTACATTTCTCTACTTGGCCATCAGGCACGTTCATTCAGCTTTCGTGAGCTGAAAAAACAAGAGATGATTAAAGAAGGAAGGAGAAAAGACGAATGCCCTTTGCCTCTACCAGCAGGCTCCATCCACTGCCTCCTTCGAGATGCGCTGGACCCTCCTCAGGCCCTGCCCGCAGACACTGTGGGTGTCGGCCTAATCCCCCCTCAACCTGTAAACAGAG